AATGACCCTTATAGCCAAGTCATTGAGAACTCTGCAAACACCACGTTCTCTCTTGCCTCCATGTGTGTACATATATTATTCTACTGCCTGAAATACCCTTCCCTCATGCTCTCTTGTTTTTAAAGACTCAGCTCAAGTGTCACGTCTAGAAGTCTTTCCTCACATTTCCCATCGCCAGCTCTGAAGGCGGCACTTCTTTTACATTTCAACAGCTTCCACACCTCTTCCAGCCAGACACTGTTCTAAGCATTTACACCTTTAGAAGAACCCTAAAAAGTAAGTACTGTTATTGTTCTAATTTACAGATGAGGAAAACAGGGCTCAGAGAAATGACCAAAGTTGCCCCAGGTCAGACAGCAAAGACACAGATCTAAGAACTGGGCCCTGAGAATCTGGCTCCAGTCTGTGCGCTCACACATTACATTCCCGGTATGCAATAAATTCTTGATAAACATGTGAGTGAACAGAACTAACAAGGCGTAGTAAGCAACTAAAGAACAACTTGTGTGTACCCTGAAATTCCAGGATAGAATGCAGGCTCTGCCATGTATCGGCTGTGAAAGGCTGGTAAGTTACCCTATCTCCGTAAGTGTCAGCTTCCTCTTCTGTAAAATGGAAATAATAGCTCCTTTGCAGGTGATTGTGAAGACGCACACAGCTGTGGGGATAACAGTCACCCACATTCACCAAATGAAATAGTTGGCATGACTCTGTGTGTAACACCAGGTATAGACAGAGTAGTTGCTCAGAAAATATTTTAGGTTAAGGAGGTGAGAAAGAGATATGAAGTGAATAATATGAAAGCTAACATGTATTTCATGCTTAGTATGTGTCAGGAACCGTGTACATTCTCAATGAGCACTGGCTGATTTCACAACCATGGAACAAAGTAAGTGCTATTACTCTCCCTGTTGTGCAGATAAGGAAACTGAGGATTGTGGAAGGATCTAAGCCAAGTCACACAGCCAAGCAGCCGCAGAGCGGGCTGGAGCACAGTCCTGATTCTAGAGGCGGAGCTCGTTAGCATGCCATTTTCTCACGGCTGCCTCAGACAATACAGTGGGTGGCTTTGAGCTTGACTGTCGGGAGGGATGGAACAAAGGACAAAGAATGGGGGCAGAGGAATGGAATGAAGAGGCTAACAGCGAGCTCAGTTTGGGACAGCTTGAGCGTGTGGTGCCCGTCCAGGCAAAGCTATCCAACAGCTGAAATACAGGATTAGAGCCCTAGAGAGAGGGTAAACTGAAAATAGAGATTTGATGGTGTTTAAATTATGGGAAAAGATGAAATCATTCACAGTGTGTAAAAGAAGAGAAAATGGACTTGGAAGAAGCTCTTAAATATCAGCCATTAAAAGCAGAAGAAAATGAGCCCGTAAAAGACCTGATAAAAAGAAAGTAGAGAATTGGGGAGTATGTAGTTGAGACCAACAGAAGAGAGGAGGGATGGGCCAGTTAATTCATTTAGCCAACAAATATTTATTGAGCATCAGGCATTGTTTTGGGTGCTAGGAGTATACTAGCGAACAAAAGATAATATTTGCCCTTGTAGAGTTTACATTGTAGTCAAGGGAGATAGGCAATAAACACATAAATATAGAAAATATGAGGTGGTAATAGAAAATAAAACAAGGTAGGTTACAAAATAACAGAGTGGCAAGAACTACTCCATCTATGGTGAACTATGGAAATCCCCTCTGAGAAAGTGAGTCTTCAAACAGACTCAAGGAAGTGAGCATGTGAGCTCACTTTCTGTGAGGAAACAGGGATGAAAAAGCCTTCAGGCTAACTGTGCTTGAGAAGAACAAGAAGGCGAGAAGTGCTGCAGAGGAATGAAGGAGGGCAGGATGCTAGGAGATGAGGATGAGAAGCTGGGGAGGATACTGCAGTTTATAGAAGACTTTGACTTTAATTCTGAGTGAGCGGAGGAGGTATTAGAGAAATTTGAGGGAGTGACACGATTTGAATTATGACGCTCTGGGAGCGTCTGACTTTTGGTTTCAGCTCAGGTCATGATCTCAGGGTCATGTGTGGGGTCAAGCCCCTGGTTCCGTGCTGGGTGTGGGCCTGCTTATGATTCTCTCTTCCTGTGCCCACCAGCCCCGCTTACACACACGTGCTCACCGTCTCTCTCTAAAACAAACAAATATGTCAAACGATCACTCTGGCTGCAATGCTGAGAACAGATTGGGATGGGGACGGTGAAGCAGAGAGGAGGCTGTGGCAGAACTCCAGGTAAGGGATGACAGGGCTTGGACTAGAGTGTTAGAAGTGGCAATAGTGAGAAGCGACCAGATTCTGAATATGCTGGAAACATGGAGCCAACAGTATGTGCTGACATCCAAGTAGAAATATGTATCTGTAGTGTTGCGAAAAGCCTGGCTGAACATCTGAATTGGGTAGTCACTGGGGTACAGATGACACTTAAGGCCATGGGACTAGCTGAGGTCTCCTAGGTAGTGAGGGTGGATGGAAAGGAAATCAGAGCTCTCCAATTTGGGAATTTGGGAAGAAGAGGAACCAGCAAAGGAGACTGAAAAGCAGCAGCAAGTCTTGGAAGTCAAGTGAAGAAAGTAAACAAAGAGAGATCAATTGTGTCTCATATAAAGTAGCATAAGGAAAAAAAGTGACTGTGGATTCGACAATCTGAAGGTCACTGGCAAACTTGACAGAAGCTGTTTTCATGGGGCAGCAGGGACAAAAGCCTGACTGCACGATGTTTACAGAGAAGGGAAGAGAAGTAAGTAAAACTTGTGTGTTCTGGTTCAAAGAGAAGCAAAGAAAGGGCCAGTAGCTGGAATGTAATGTGAAGTTACAGGTATCTTTCATTTTTAAGTTGTGAGATGTTACACCAGTGTCAAATATTACAAAAGGGCCCAGTGAATTTAAGACCTTTTATTTGGGTGTCAGGTCTCAGTGAGTAACTGAGTAACAGTAACAATGACAACAAGAATTCCAAGAATAAAGAATTAACAGAGCATTAGGCAAAATAGATAGGGCATGCAGATTCAGTTGAGACAGGTAGGAGAAATAGGAGATAAATGACAGGATGATAGAGGGAAGGATTTCTCTTTTTTAATCTATAAAGGCAGAGACTTGCCTGTCTTTAGGTTTATGTGAAAGAACTTAGTTGAACAGAGAAGGCTGAAAACAGGAGAAAGGGTAATTGATGGTGCATGGGCTGGTTTCAGACAGGAAAAAGGTCACTTTACCCTAGAAATGGTAGGTAAGGGTCCAGGTGGTCCAGGTTCAGACCTGAGGTCTCTAGCTCACCCACAAATGGCAATGAAAAGTTTCTTCTCCTAACAGACATTCTTGGTTTCAGGAGAATGATACGGGTTTGGCAAAGCTGAGCACCTCACTAGAGACACTTGGATATGCAGCAGAGAAGCAGTGGTTGTGTGGCTGGGGACACATGGCTGCACAGGACCCTTAGGACTCTAGGGTAGCACAGAGAAAAGGGATGGAGTGTAGCTGGCTTGGGATTTTGAAATGAGTGTGGTGGATGGGCAAAGTGAGGGCACAGGTAAGAGAGTGGATTAAGAGGTGTGAAGATGATGGGTGGGGACAAAGCAGAAGCATGGAGGCCATGTAGTTGGGGGGGCAGGTGGACTGGGGATGGAGGTTGTGACCAGAGTGATGTTGGATTTCAGAGGTGGGATGAGCAGATCCCGGGAGCGGGGATGAGCTGGGGTGGAGGAAGACTGTCGGAGGAAGACCATGGGCTAGGAGTCCATGGCTTTCCTTCCTGATAAGGTTGCTGCAGGTGAGCAAGACTAGGATGGAAAGGAGGGTTAGTCCAGTGCCAAAGCCCAAGGGAATGAGAGTAACAGCAAACTAATGGGGTTAGGAGAGCAGAGGGAGTGTGGGAGCGGGAGAGGACAGGCTTAAGAATCACTTTGGGTGTGAAGGGCTGGAGGTCACAGGGGTCCTGGGGAGTGGAGACTCCAGAGGTGTGCAGAGCTCATGGGCCTAGAGTCCTGGTTGTAGTCTCAGGGTCTTACCTGGTCTGAAGAGTTTGGCAGAGGCTGGGATCCCCCTGGAAATGAGAACTGGGAAAGGACAAGTGGGGCTCTCGGGTCAGAGATTCTTTGTGAGGGGCACATGCATGCGAGCAGCACAGGAACGGCGTGTGCATGTGTGGTGGGAGTCCTGGAGTCGGAGGAGAAGGAGTGTGTGGTGTGTGGAGTGCAGGTGTTCCAGGTGTGGGAGCAACAGGTGAGAGGGTCAGGTCGTATGGGAGAGTTCAGAGTCTGGAACATGCAGTGTAAGAGGTCTGGAGATGTGGGGTGAGGGAACTGGGGTGAAAGCGGGGTTTGGGAGGTGAGGAGATGGGGTGAGGAGGCCTGAGGGGGGGTGAGGGTGGTGTGTGGGGGTGAGGGTGTGTTGGTATGGGGGTATGGGGGGCAAGGAGACTAGAGTGAGGAGGGGTGTGGGAGGTGAGGAGACTGGGGTGAGGAGGTGGGGGAGGGGGCTGGGGTGAGAATGGGGTGTGGGGGCGAGCAGATTGAGGTGTGGAGCAGGGGCGCTGGAGTGAGGGGGGTGTAGAGACTGGGGCAAGGGTCAGGTGTGGTGGGTGAGGGTGGGGTGTTGGGGCTGGGGGCTGGGGTGAGGAGGGGTGTGAGGGGAGAGGAGATGAGTGAGGGGATGTGGTGGGGGTGAGGTGCTGGGGTGAGAATGGGGTGTGGGGGGCGAGGAGACTGGGTCGAGGGGGTGGGGGGCGAAGAGACTGGGGTGAGGGGGCAAGAATACTGGGGTGACGGGTAGAGGAGGAGGAGACTGGGCTGAGGGGTTGTGGGGGCCGAGGAGACTGGGGTAAGAACGGGGTGTGGGTGACAGGGGCTGGGGTGACAGGGGTGTGGGGGGCGGCGAGCGGCCCGTGGCGAGGGTGAGGGCGGGATACCGGGTGAGGCGGCGGGTACAGCTCGGGGACTTCGTGGCCCTGGGGGGCAGGAGGAGCAGGGAGGGCCAGGGACCCGTGGCTGGGCGGGCCTCGCTCACCTCAAGCACCGCCTGCGCTCCTCGCGTGGGGATCCGCGACCCACCTGTGTGGTGGGGAGCACGCGGCCGGACCTGGCCACGGAACCCCGCCCCTTTCCGTTAGCAGACCCGCCCCCTGGAGATGATTTCTCGCCCTCATTGGCCAGTGTCCCGGAGCGGAAGGGGCTGGGCCGCAAACACGTGAGTGTGCCGCCCTCTGGCTGGTCCCGAGTCTCGGCCTCGAGGTCTCATTGGCTGGTCTCCAGAGCGGAAGGGGCGGGGTCACCCCGGGGGCTCTTGCCGGAACTAGCGGTGGCTGAGGTGGAGGGAGAGCGGAACTGAAGGGAGGGTCCTCTCGTGGACCTGATGGTTGTGTTCTTCTCCGCGGTTCGCCAGAGCAAGGCCTGGCACGCAGGGCCCGGTCCTCCTGACCACCGCGTCCCCAGTGTCCGGGACAGCACTTGGCCCAGCAGGTGCTCGTCAGCGTTAGTTCAGGCCCAGACGTTCTCCGTCTTGACGACGACCGCGCCTGCGGACGTCGTGCAGCTGTCCGCCCCCAGGGACCCGCGGTCGGCAGGAGAGAGCCCTGGCGGTCCCCGGGGCGGGGCGGGCAAGACCGCCGCTCGGCGCCGAGAGCGGCTGCTCCCGCCGCGGCAGTCCGGAGGAGACCGGAGAGACGGCCTCCGCGGGCCGGTGCGAGGGGCGCAGTCTGGGGCCACCGACGGCTTGGAGGGGCCGGAAGCGGAGAAGCGGCTCGGGGACGGGGTCTCCCGGGCTGCCGGCTGCTGGAGCGAGAGGTGAGCAGGCTGCTCGGGCGAATGACGGCCGAGGTGCGGGGGTCGCAGGGCAGGGACGGTCACCCCCTCAGAGCCGTCCAGAAGGTGGACTTGAGCGGGCTTGGTTTTGGGGGAGGTGAGGGAGGAAGGGGCGGGGGTTGGGCCCGAGGGTGATGCCAGGCCGGGCCGGGGGCGGTGGGGGGGAAGCCCGTTCGGAGGAGGACTCCAGTTTCCTCTCAGGGATCTGATCGGTCGCCGCCCGCTTGCAGAGTAGCAGACACGGTTGAGCCCGAGCGTTCGGGGCGCGTCCGTCGGCTTGGGCTGCCGGGAGCTGATTCCTGCCGCCGCCCCGCGGAGAATCGCGCACCGGGAGGCGCTCTCGCGGGCGACGCCGATGCGCCGGGATGAGCAGAGGTTCCGTGAAGGCGAAGGCAAGCGCGTGGCAAAGCTTCCTTCCGGGAATGGACTCTTCCGGAGGGGCGGAGGAGGCTCGGAGGGCGGTTTGGCCTCGCAGGTGAGGTGGCTGTCCGAAGCGCCCGCAGAGCCCAGGCCAGGAAGGACGGGCTCCCGGGACGCGCGGGGGTGTCAGCCCGGCCTCCCCATGAACCGGCCGTTACTCACCCGGCGTTTCCTAGCCAGGCCGTGTCCTCCAGTCTCCCCCGCGCTGGGAGCCCTGGCCGGTGGGTGTGGTGCGGACGCTCTGTGTCACCACCAGGCCGGATCCCTTGCTCTCTTCCCCGTGTACCTGCTGGGCGTTGCTGTGCCGGGCAACCCGGGACCAGCCTGAGGCGGGCAGGCCTTTCGTCAGCCTCTGAGTAGTGGTGTGGAGCAGAGTCTTCCTCTCAGCCAAGTGAGCGAGGGTTGGACTTCTGTCGGGCTAAGCTTTGAGGGTGTCGGGATTTGTCTGTTACCGCCGCCAGCCTGACCTAGTGCCTAGTGCCGACCCGCAAACCCCAGGGCTACAGGTAGCTTATGGTTCGATGGGTTGTCGCTGAGGTTTTTACCTTGGGTTAGCATTATGGTTTCCCTTCTTACCTTTCTTAACCAAGAAAAAATCCGATTAAAAAACAAACAAACAAACAAAACACTTGGATTTCAGCATTAATGGAAAGCCAGCTTTTTGGAAGACTCTGCTCACTGCTCTCCCGAGGCTGGGTGGGCTGGTGTGCCCAGAAGCCTACCAAAACCCACACACTCCCCCAGGGTAGGTGACACAGGTACTCTGTGTGGCCCAGTCTGTGAAGAGATTCTTGGGAGCCCAAGAAAGTTCTGGTGCAGAACGGAACATTCTGTGAGCTGAGATTCGTAAGCTTCTCACCGAGATTCAGAGGCAATTAGGAGCCTCTGCCCTGGGAATCCTCTCATGTGCTCTCTTCAAAGCTGCTCTCAGGAGCCTACATCTTCTTAGTTTTCAATTTATATTTTGAGGAGTTTGAGCCAATTTCACGAATACCTCCTATAGGCACATCAAACTCAACATTTAAAAATCTCATCTAATCACTCAAGCACCCAAAGTAGAAAATGTGAATTATCTTCGATGCCTGTCAGGTTTTAAGACCTACATTGACGTTCTTGTATCCTGAGTCTCCTTTTGGTAGTTTAAGTCCCATCATTTATCCCAACCTGGCCCCCCTCCCCCGCCGCCGAGAGGTACAGACAGGTCTCCTTGTTTCTGTCTTCACTGCCCCCTACGTTGTTCTAATGTCATTCTGGCTGGCCAGAATGATCCCATTAAGGTTTAGGGCAGATTAGATCACCCTCTGTTCTCACCTCAGTGGCTTCTCCCATTATTCAGACAAGCCAGAGCCTGGCATATGAGGCCCTTGAGGCCCCGCTCCACCTGTTCCCTCCTGCTCTCCCTCCACTACCTCCACGCTAGCCACAGCCCCTCTGGTACTATTCCTGCACTGCAGCCGGCACCTGCCACCTGGAAGCTCTGGCCCTGGCTGTCCACTCTGAACCCTCCCTCCCGGTCAGAGTCAGATAGCCCCGCTCAGGAAGTCTGCCTTCCCAACCCTGTCTGAAATTGCCACCCACCCCTCCATTGCTCCCGCCCATTACTTTTCTCCTTAGCACTTATTACCATCTGCCTTACTGTATAATTTACTCATTCTTCTTGTTTAATGCCTGTCTTCCCACTAGACTCTAAGCCCCAGGGGGAGGGACTGTTTTGGCCAGTTTTATTCACTACTGTATGCCAGTGCCTAACCGATTATAGCATGAATAAGTACTAAGTGAATTATTCCAAAAGGCTGCTGGTTCCCATGCTAGCCTCTCCATCCCCGAATCCATGCCTGTTTGACCTAATAGTGAATTCCACACGGCAGGTGCCTTGCTCAGCACCGAATCCCCAGCACAGCGCCGGGCAGGGGTGGGTGCGCAATCAATGGTAGTTCAGAAGAGAAGGCCCGGGACTGTATGAATTCGTTCCCGGGTTCTCGGCAACAAGCAGAGTGCTAGGACCCGGGTCCCCTCTCGCACGCAGCAGTAGGAATTAAGTGCCTTCTTACACTTTCCAGAAAACAATTTGTGTTTACTTTTAATGTTATTTCAATGTAGAAAGTCAACCTGAGGGAAGGAGCATGTGTTGCTCCAGATTATACTGTGTGCCCTCTCACAGACATGACCACTTGGTGTGTGGACTGAGAGCCTGGGATTCTAGCCCTTCCCTATGGCCAGGAGGCGGCCATGGGCCTCCACAGGGCTGTGCCCCAGCCCAGAGGCGTGCAGAGGGCATGACCGTTCATGGAACTGGCAGCTGGGCCCCACTCTCTGGCAGACAAACAGAAGTGGCCCCAGGGAACAGGTGAAGGTTGTGAAACAAGAGTTTAGTCCCAGTGGGTGTGGACGGCGGTGACCTCAGGAGCAACATGCATTGCAAAGTAGGTCACAAGCCTCTCAGCCTCCCAGCCCCATCTCCTCCCCCTGCTACCTCGCTGGCCTGAGCTTGGGCAGGGGAGGGCCTCCTAGTTCCCAAATAAAACACAGGTACCTAAGAGCTAAGAGAGAATTACAGAGGCTTATCTTTATTAGTGTCTAGCAAGAAAAAAAAGTCAAAATTCCCTCCCTGCTCCAACCCCACTTCTACCACCTGGGCCCTCAGGGAGCAGTGTCTGTTTTGGGAGTGCCTGCTGCCAGAGCTGTCTTTGGAGGCTGGACACCTGTGCATGGCCACCCCTTACGCCTGTGAGCCGACCACAGGCCCCTTCTTCCACAGTGTGGGGATGAAAGGGCAGCTGGCATTTCTCCAGCCCTCAGCTGTCAGCCTGGAGAACTTGGAAAAGATCAGCGATGTCCAGCAGAGCTTGGCGGATGTGGTTCCCAAAGCGCTGGGCATTCTGCGGGAGCCAAGAGCTCAGACCAACCCTTCAGGTGAGGCCCTGTCCCTCTGTCCCCACAACCAAGGACTCTTCCCCAGCCAGAAAGGGCCCCAGGTAGTACCCCCTCCTCAGGCCTGAGCAGGAGCGGGAGAGACTCACTGTCTCTGAGCTTGAGAACTTGCTGGAGATGTGGAAAAAGATGGTGTTCTCGCCCGCAATCATGTAGGAAACCCCATAGCCGTCATCTGCCACCTGAGGGCAGCACGAGGGGTAAAGAAGTAAACCAAACCTTGCAGATCCGAAAGCTGATGTCATGCTTGCTGTCCCCACAAGATGCCCAGGAAGGGGCCCCACCCCACATGCTGCATTTCCCCTGAGGTCAGGAACCTTTCCAGGCAACAGTGTGAAAACTGAGGAGCTCTGCCTACTGCAGGTCCGGACGCTACGAGGGATCCAGGATATTGTGTTTCTCTCAGGAGGTTCAAGCTCACTGCCTCTCTCCAGGGAGTGTCTTTAGTTCCTGGGTACTACCCAGGATAGCTACCCATTCTCTTTCTACGCAGGGCAAGCCCAGGGCTCTGCTCCTGGCCCTGGTCTGACTTCAGGGCTCTGTACTCTCGCCTGAGACCGCTGGGGCCCAGTCCTGCTCAGCCATCTCCTTTCAAGGGCACTTACAGGGCCAAAGCCACCACCGGCACCCAGGTGTTTGGGGTACTTGTCCGGGTCAAACATACGGATCTGGAATTGAGCAGTCTGGCTGGTGGAGAGGCGCCAGGGTTCTGAGAGCACCTGTAACAGGGAGATCACAGCAGTGAGGCACCATGCGTGAAATGCCACGCACTCAGCACTCAACCTGCTGACCGGTGATACCTGAGCACCAGCACAGGAGCAGGAGCACAGACTTCCCAACCGCCGACTGCTGCTACACGTCCCCCCTCCCACTCCCTCCCTCATCTGTTCTCACCATGACAGCATTTGCACAAAACCCTTGAAGCCCACGTGACCTAACTGTCCCCCCAGGCCTCTTCTCCTACTGGCCTGTCCCTCCCTCGGCTCTGCTCCCTCCCCTCCTGCTGCTGCTCTTTGTCCACCCATGCCCCTGCCGCAGTGTCTGGGCCCTGGAGGTTCCCTCTGCCCAGCCTCATCCTGCAGCCTCTTCGCTTTTCCCAAAGTACTGTCACCACCTGAGAGCCATCATAGTTGTACGTCCACCCTCATGAGAACCACCTACTGAGAAACAGGACCACAGGCCTGGAAGGGGTGTGGAGCAGGAAAGCTGGCTCCAGCCCTCAAGGGCAATTTCTGGGGATCCGGGCAGAGGATAGGCCATGCCCCCTCAGGAGAGGCCATGGGGAGAGGGGACACACCCATCAACAATGCTGACCTCAGCCAGGAAAGGGGAGCTGACCCCCAGGTACTTGGAGACCAGGTAAAGGCAGAAGAGGTGCCTATCTATCCCACACCCTGTCATGGCCAGGCGGTACATGTTCTGGTGTTTCTTTGAAGCCTTCCGGAAGAGATCTTGGAGGTCTGCTTTCTGGGGAGCAGAAGCGGAACAGTGAAGAGTAGCCCTGCCCCTCAAGGTGGGCAGGAGGTGGAGGGTTTGGGGGGCTCACCATGTGGGACCCCTCCACCATGGCCTGAACAAAGGCCGTGGACTCGCTGGTACAGGAACGCACGGTCTCGGTCCGTCCCTCCCGGAACATCCTGGTCATGGAGGCTTCATAGGTTAGGCAGAACTTGCCCCTGTCCTGAGGAGCACAGAAGCGTGAATCTGGCAGGTGAGGCTGGTGCCACCCTGCCCCTTAGCAGCCCGGCAGGGCTCCTACCCGGAAGTGGGCCAGCTGCAGGGCAATCTGCACGAAGGCGTCCGGGCTGGTACGACACTTCTTGATGAGGCCTTTGCCAAACGGCAGGAACTGGAAGCAGTACAGCTCCACGTCGTCTGCCAGTGCCTTGGCCACCTGGTAGGAGCTCTCGATGATGGCCCGGCACTGCCAAGATATGGAAGGGTCAGCTGGGGGCAGAGCTCTCCAAGCAGCGAGGCTGGGCAGGTCTCAGTGAGCCTTTAACATCTTCAGACACAGAGGGCAACCTGAGGGGCCTCCATCCCCAGAGGCCACGCTGGGCTTTGTGGGAAGAGGGAGGCACAAACGGGTGCTCTGTGGACGAGTCTCATGCCTCATGTCTTTCACTAACGAGTCTCATGCCTCATGTCTTTCACTAACTGATGGTCCCAGGATCGCTGTTCTCTGCATGGCCAGTCTGGACTCTGAGAAGCTCCTGTCCCATCCCCCTGAGAGCGTCCCAGGTACTTGCCACTCTCACATGCCCATCCCTGTCCCCTCTTGGCCTGCACACCTGCTCAGGAATGTCCCAATGCAGCCGCTGGGGAGCCATAAGCATGGGATTTGGCTTGCCCAGGCAGTGCCCGGTCTCCGTGTAGCCCAGGTGGAAGGTGTCAGTGCCCAGGACAAACTGCAGGGAGAAGGTCAGGCTGAGAAGCCACCCTCACACCCCGCACCCAGCCTGCCCTGCAGGACCCTTCTGAGGGCCCATTACCTCCCAGAGATGCCCTATGATAGGTGCGTCTGCCCACGCGTGTTCCGTGTTGAGGCCCAGCTGGCCGTTCTTGAAGGCGATGATAGTGAAAGACTTGTCAAACCACCTGCAGGAAAGGAGGCCGCAGATGCAGCGCCAAGACAGGGGGAAGGAGCGGGGGGCCTGCCGCGGGGCTGGGGTGCCATACCTGTTGTAGCAGTTGCCATGTAGCAGGGCCTTGCCATAGAGGCTGAGGCTGGCCTCGTCTTCGGGGTCATAGTGGGGAGACTCCTCATCCAGGGCCACGAAGAAAGCAGCACGCTCGATAGCATCCAAAGCGGCCTTGTTCTTGCCAGAGCTGAAGAAGGCCTGGCGTGCCTGTGCCCACTCCGTTCTGGGGGCACAAGGGCAGGGTGAGTGTGGGGTCACTGGGCGGCGGCGAAGGACACCTCTCAGGACTCGGCAGGGCCCAGTGCTGGGGGTCCCAGGCTGTCCTGGCAGATGTCCCTGTCCTCCACACACTCCCACCTAGTCCCCGCCCAGTCGCATGTGGCTAGATGTGCCGTCTGCCGTTGCCCACCATCCTCCTCACTACAGAGGGGCCTGGCTTGGGCAGAGGGCACCCTGCCAGCATGTGCCTCCCTCAGTCATGCCCGTGGCCCCAAGTTCCAGGGTGGCATGCAGGACCGAGCTCCTCTTCTCATGGGGCCCTGGTACCTTCCCCCTGCAGTGAGGGCTGCCAGCTTTTCCTCCCCAGGCTGAGGTGGGGAGGGGTCATCCAGGATCTTCTGGAACTGCATCTCTAGGTCGCAAGGCTTGAGCAGCTGGGAGCCCTCGTAGAGCCACACCTTGAAGAAGCGGCCCTTGTGGTAGACAGCCACGTGCCTGCTGTCCGAGAGGTGCTGCAGCAGGTCTGGGACAGAAGCGGCAGGAAGGCTGAGGCAGGGCACACCTCTCGGTTCCCACTGCCCCCCTGCCCCCCCACAGGCCTCCGTCTGGGCTTTCCTTTCCCAGCAGTGGAAGTGCCGGCACCAAGCCAGGCCCTGTGCCGGGCGCTCCCATCTCTCTTGCTTAATGCCAATGGTCCCATAAAGCACTTCACAGAAGAGGAAGCCGAAGCTCCAGGAAGTACACGCACTGTCCCCGTGTCAGGAAGCACGCCCTCGGCAAGCAGCCTCTCCTACTCCACTGGCTGTGAAGGGCTCCTGGGAAGCTCTGCTCCTCCCGCTACCCCTTCTTCAGACCACCTACCCCTGCCCTGGAAGGTCCTGGGGAGCAGGGGCTCTGTTCTGGGCCCTGCTGGTCACAAATCAAGTATTTTTTCCAGTTCCCTGACCCTGAGATGCCCTGGACGCTTGGTGACGGGCGCACAAATAGAAGGGTCAGCCATGTGAGGCGCAGACCTGGGAGGGAGGGGCCTCCGTCCTGACAGCCCCACCACGGGCCCCTGGCGGTGGCCAGTACCTGACTCCTTGCCCGGGATCCGAGTAGTGTTGAACATCCTCTCCATCTGGTAGGAGCACATGGGTACAATGCCCTGCGCCATCACCTGGGAGGAAGGCCCGGCATGGCTCAGACTCAGGCCTCCTCTCCCTGCTGTGCCCTCAACCCCACACAACTCACAGGCTTGATCTCTTCCCGGTCCAGTTTACGGCGATACAGGATCATAGCATGGACGATGTTTCCCAGGCGAGCTGCCTGTATGTTTGTATTCTGGATGAGCACGAAGTCCTGCAGAGAGAGAGCGGAGCCTGCACGGGGTGTGACAGATGCGCAGCAGCATCTCTCTGTCCTGGTGTCACCTGGGTCTCCCCGCCTAAGGACCTGAGGGGTCCTGATCCCTTTCCCCAGTCCATCCTGCACACATGGTCAGGGTGCACTGCCAGAGGTGAAATGCATAACTGGTCACGCCATCTCTCTGCCCAGCTTGAATCTTTGGAGCTGCTTTCTCATAGCCTATTTTCTTTGGTCGTGTTTTGTTTATTTTGCATTGAGCACAGAGTTTCTACCACTGAAAAACAGTTTAAAACCTCTGTCATGGGCAAGCTGTACGTAAGTGGTTGGGAGGACAGCTCTGTGGAGGAGGGGACTTCGGCACATGACTCGGAATGTGTTTTGGGCAGTGGGAGAGGAGGGGCCCGCTGTGCAGACCGGTGGCTGTGCTGAGGCCTGTGCTGGGAGCAGAAGGGCTGGTCATGTGGGTCAGGGGAAGACCATGACCTCGTGAGCTCTAAGAGAAGCAGCTCGGGATCCACACAGTAACATGACAGGAAGGCGCAACGAAGGAAGTTCCCAGTGATGGTGTCAGGACAGCTGGGAACCTGTGGTCGGGAGGCCGGTGAGAAAACCAAGGCAGGAAGGGATAGAGCCTGGGCTGGTCAGGGCAGTGAGCCTGAGGGACTCTGACCGTGATAGTTCAGGCTGTGGGTCTATTGGACTCCCCAGATCCTCAGGACCCTTGCTACCCTGAAACTGCTTCCCGACTATTCCGGATTTCCCCCATCTTCCCTGCCCCCAGGCCCACCCGCACCATGACGTAGTAGTTGCTGTTCACCACAAGGGGCGCCCTGCTCCTCAGGTACACATACTCTTCCCACCAGTCACTCACCTGCAGGAGGAAGGGAAGAGTTAGTGCTGGGGCCGAGGGCAGGGGACAGATGCCCCTGACACACGGGGGGTGAGGATAAGCCAAGGAGGGGACTCACATAGTTCGTTGCCCACCATGACTTGAGGACCAGGTACTTCTGCAGCCTGGGGGCAGTCTTCTCCTGGAAGTCCTTGGCCAGCGTCTCCATTCGGTAGTATTCCGCATCATCCAGCAAGGGCCGCACAGATTCCAGGTACTGTCCAGCCGAGTCATTGTCAGTGTGGGGGCCAAACGGCAATGACTACTTCTGTCTTGACTCTCTGCCAACCCAGCCCCATTTCTCTCAACCCCGCTCTTTGCAAGGGACAGTCCCTTAGTTTGGAGAAGTCCTCTGAGTCCAGCCTAGCCTGCCCAACGGGGACGTCTGATTCAGGCCCTTACCCGCTGAATTGTGGCTGGCACGCAGGGCACGGGAAGCTTGGGCAGGGATGTCTGGAAGCTGTAGAGCATGGGCCGCCGGCTGGACAGAAGGCGGACACAGATCTGGGCATACGGAGCAGAGAATGTTTCTGGTGAAAACCAGGGGAAGTAAAGGAAACAAATCACAAACCCTTGAGGAGCTGGGCCCCCGACCCTCAGAACCAGGACAAACCTATGCACCAGGCACCAGTGCCCTGCCTGCCTCTCCCCTCCAGCTTAGAACCCCAAATGAGGCCCCCAGAGTCTCAAACCAGTTGCCTGAACCCGTCCACTGGCTTCTGCTCACAGCCCAGACTTTGGTGAAGTGGCTGGTCTGGCCATGCATCTCGAACATCCAGCCATGGTAGGAAAGAAGCAGTTTCAGGGTTTGGCGGAAGAAGAAGATGCCTGTCATCCAGACGCCCGTTGAGAAGACGACCATGCTGAGAAGTGCCCGGGTCTGTGGGGTCTGGTAGGGGCCACATCTGTCAGAGAAGGGACAGGGCTGCAAGGAATCCACTTGAGGTCAGCCTTAGGGAAATTCTGACTTCAGTTTTGATGGTTGTGAACCAGCTTGGAGAAGGCATGGATGACCATTCTCCAGCACACTCCTGTCTGAATGCATTACATACCAACTTCCAAAATGTTGGACTCAGATGATGGTGGCCCCCAAGGAGGGCTGCCCCTAGGACCTCCAGTGGCTATTATCCTGAATGTGCCCAGCTCAAGAACCCTGGCCTTGGAGGCTGCCCAGCCCTCTCTTGTCACCCTTCTTACCCCTCAGGGAGGCACCTCTGGATATAGCAGACCAGCCCCATGGAGATGTCCACCTTGCAGTAGGAAGAACCCACTGTTGCCATGACGACAACCAGCCAGCTGGTGGGGCTGCCAGGGTACACACCCCTAAGGATGCCATTCTGTGGGGCAGAAACAGGGACACTTACAGCAGAAATGACGGTGGGCACCTGCGAGGTCCTGGTCTTTGCCTGGGAGGCCGCCTCTCTCCCTCACCTGCTGTGCTCCTGTTCCTCCTTCATGTCTGGTCTTCCCCTCCTCCACACTCCCATACCTGCAGCACCCAATTACTCACTGGGTCCCACTGCTACTCCTTGCACACCCGTCTCCCCTCCACACCTTGAGCACCCCTCTGGTTTCTGCACTGCTAGAGCCTGCCACCCAGCCAAACTGCCAGCCAAGGTGGGGGTGGAAAGTCTTGACAATGGGGCAGCAGCTGACACCTGGCCTCTGTCTTCGCGAAAACTCTATCCTGCAGCTGCTGGGAGGGAGAAGCCAGAACCACCCGCTCCCACCTTGATGCGAATCAGGCGTTTCTTCCAGGAGTTGATCCCGGACAGGTAGATGTGTTTTAGGGCCTCCCGACTGAGCCGGAAGTCGACCCCATCTGGGGTCACCGTGAACTGGAAGGCCACGGCCTGGTGCGCTTCCGCCATCCCGGAGGTTGGCCTTCACCTGGGAGGGGGCAGGGCAGGAGGGTGCGCGGGCGGACTTCGGCTGGCCCCGCCTCCGGCCGCGCTCTGCCTCGAGGGCCCCCGAGACCCGGCTGCGCCCCCACCCCCGCCCCCGGCCGCGCTACACCAGCGGCCGCCCGAGGCCCGCCGCCCGCTTCGGCCCTGGCCCCGGCCCCGGCCCCGGCCCCGGCCCCGGCCCCGTCTTCGGCCCCGGCTTCGGCCCCGGCCCCGGCCCCGCAGCGCGACCAACGGCCGCGGAACCCTCGCGCCCGCGTTCCGGGCGTGCTCCTCCACGGTGGGGCAGCGGTCGGGTAGAGGGCCGAGCCGGGAAATCTTCAGAAGCCCCGAGGACAGTGAAGGGCTGCCTCTGGGTTGGGGCGGGACGCGCCCCTGAAAGCAGAGTTGATCTGGAGCGAGGCAGACAACCCAACTGCAAGGGACCCCGCGCCGTCCTCGCCCCCTGCTGTGGTCTAGGCTTCTGAGCCCCACGGGTGGCCCCGTGTTGCCCCCCAGTCCACTCACAGTTTGGGTTCGCTCCTGTCCGCGTGTGGGGCCAGTCGCTCTGGCCCGTGTCCCCATGTCCTTCAGGCCTGGCCATCCCTGCCCCGCCCTCACCGGGAACCTGACACCCACTCCCAAATTTGGGTTGAGAAAACAGATGTGGGGCGGCAACCAGAATCCCCTCCTCTCTGTGGTGGGAATCAGAGTGGGGGTGGGCCGGGTTTCTGCAAGCTGACATTGCTCAGAGGTCTGGGAACCTGGGGGGGCCCAAAGGGTCTCACGTGAGGATGGCAGCATTGGAGCTAAAAATAGCTGAATGTAGGGAAAAGGTCATCAGAGTGTCAGCTGTGCTGCCTGTCCCCTGATCTCCAGTGCTCAGGGTTGGGCAGCCCCACCCCAGTGCCCTCTTTGTACCCTCATTACCTCCTAGCCCGCCACCCAAATCGTTCTAGTGTGTGTCACTTCTAAGCTGGGGCCAGGGAGGGGGAGGGTAGGGGGCTCCAACTGGCACAGTGGACCCTTAACAACTCTCAAGCCCAGAGCACCCAACAGCCATCCTCTTCAGAGAAAACAAGGCTCACAGCCTCGATCACTCCTGTCAATCTGTGTGCATTCCCTGGCTGGTACTTTCTGCAGCAGAGCTAGGACTGGGTGTGAAGGAAGAAGCTTGTTTATTGTCTCAAGGTACACAGCCAGGGGCTCTCTCCCACCATCTGCCTGCTGTGGAGAGAGGTCGGCATCCTCAGGCCCAGGCTCGCTCCAGGGCTCAGCCCAGTCCCCAGAGCCTCCCTCCAAGGTCCCGCCCTGGAGGCTCCTGGAGCAATCTGAGTTGGGGGCTGGAGAGTCAGGATGAGGGGAAGACGCTCAGCTGTCCTTTCTGCTGGAAGTAGAACTGGAAGCGAGACTGGGCATACTCCTAGGGAAGGAAACCCCCCAGAAGACCTGTGAGAAGGCTTGAGACTAGCACCTGCCTCCCCCACCCCACCCCAAGTCTGCCCACAGATTTCCTGGGGAACATGAGGCCCCTGTTGTTCCCCCTCCTCCCACCTAACTCACCCATCTGGGTTACTTACCAAATAACCGAATTCTATGGTGGACATAGACGCCTGGAGAATAGACCAGAGACCCCAAAAGAAATGGGATGCCAGAGCATATCTAAGGAGGGCAGGACAAATAGGAGTTCAGAGCACACTTGGCATTACCTGGATCTCATCCCTCAGGCTGGTCAAGCCCCAAAGCTCAAACTTCTCCCCCACTGCCTTAACTCCACCACTGTCCTGACTCTTCCGCTCCGCCCCCACCTGCAGTCCCAGAAGCTGGCCTGCCAGCCTCCTCCTCCGCCGCTCTTCCCTTGCATGCCGCTCTGCCCCGTCTCTGCTCACCGATTAGCCTCTACCAGCAAATCTTCTTCTAGTTTCCTCTGCTCCTCTTGGGAGAAGGTCTCACCTTTCTTGACCTCTGCCAGGTAATGGCGAATAAAATGGAGCTGAGGTTGACAGACAGAGTCAGACAATGGGGAGACTGCGGAGTATTTCCCAGTGAACACCCTTTCTCACCATTCTTTCCAGACCTCACCTTCCTCCTCCCTCACAGGCCAGGTCCCGCTCCCCAGCCTCCGGTCACATACCTGCTGCCCCGGGGTGGGGTAGTCTGCAGGCTGCGCTTTGTAGAAAGGCCACTCCTCGTGAGTATAATCATAAATCCACTCACAAAAATGGTTCCCAATGTCAAAGCCCCTGGGGGAAGAAGGTGGACACTCAGTCCCCAAATACCCTGGGCAGCTGGGATGCAGAGAGGAAGGCCTAGTCTGTTTTCCAGGCTGTTGTGGGAACAGACCCATGGAGGCCATCCTCTTATCCTCACCTGTAGTTGTAACTACTGTACTCAAAGTCGACCAGCATGAGTCTGTCAGTGTTTCCTGGCTCTGAGAGCAGCAAGATGTTCCCTGGGAAAACGGGGTGGAGTTCCGGTTACTCCAGGGCCCTCTGGCCCCCTCACCTTAGGAGATGCCGGTGCTTTCTCCTACCTTCCTGGACATCATTGTGACAGAAAACCACGGGTGATGGGGTAGAGTCTAACAATTTCCTGTAGGAGAACAGGGGGCATGGGTCCTGAGTAGGAGTGACCAGAGGAGGGTTGGCCACCCCGTGGGCCAGGCCCTGAGCCCTCCCTCAGTAAATCCTGGGAAGGTACCCCAGTAGGTGCCTGGCACTGGTTCCTGTGCTGTGCTCTTCTGTTCTCCTGCCCTGCCGTCCCTCACCTGAGGTTGCCCATCTCATCCTTCAGGCTGTATGTCTCCAGCAGGTTCATCTGGGGGAGGCCAGTCGGGGGCAGGTCCTGGATCTGCTTTAGGTACCTGAAGTCCAAAGAATAAGACACGCTCCCTCTGTTATCCCTTCCTACCTCCTCTATTTCCCCAGGCCGGGCTGTCCTACCCGTTTTCCTATCACCGGGGAGCTTCTCTGGAACACTGTGCGACAGACTCGTCTGCCTTACTTGATGCCTGTTCTGTGTGGGCGTCCCACGCTAGACACTGGGACATCTGATCCACTCAGCTGGACAGTCACGGACACGTGCAGCTGCAGCCCAGTGTAGCAACTGGCAGGATCAGGGTTCAGAACAGATGTGCAAAAGCCCTGAGGCGGCTCCGGACTCACCGTTCCATGGTCCCAAACAGCCAGTGGGGCTCCTTAGTGAACGGCATCTCCATGCCATGGAACCGGGCCATCTTCGTGGCGATTTCTGCTGACAGCACTGGCTCTCGAAGCTCACAGGTTTTCAGTGGCCGGCTCTGCACCCAGGAACCTATCAGGGTGGTGAGGGGGCTGGGGCAGGAGGGGGACGGGGTGGGGAACGGAGGTGGGGGGGATGTCAGGGTCTTGGGGAAAATGCCCTACCTGGGGTAAGGGACATGAGGGCCGACACTGGAAAGGGGGATAGGGTCTGGGGGCAGGAGGTGCCTCGGGGAGGTCAGGGCCGGGCTGGGCTGGGCTGGGCTCCTACTGGGATGTACTGTTCCAGCCGGCCCTCTGGAAAGACTCCATAGAGCTGGGGCCCGAGCGACCGCTCTGCCAGGATGGCGAACATCACACTTTCGAGGACCAGGGAATCCACGCCCTGAAGGAAGGTGGACAACCACGGGGGCAGAGTCACGAGGGGCCGTAGGCCAACACAGGAGCGTCTGCTCTGACCTCCCAGCATCGCCGCCGCTTGCTCTATTGCCTGGAGACGCCCGCGCCAGGCTCCAGCGGAATTTACAAGCTCCTGAGCCCCTGGACCTCCGCGCCCTCGGCGGCGCGATGGGGCGACGGCCACCCGCCACGCGGGAGGGCAGGCCCCGAAGCCGGGGCCACGGCGGCCCTCGCTCCGTCCTCACCTGCAGGATGGCCCCGTACAGCCGCAGCAGCACCTCCCGGGGCTCCCTGCCCACGCTGGGCAGCTGGTCCGGCAGCGAGCAGCGGAAGAGCAGGTTACTGAGGCCTCCGCTGCAGACCCACAGCAGCGTGAGCTCAGCCCGCGGCCGGCGGCACCTGCCCCCGCGCGCCCCGGATCGCCCCCTGCGTCCGCCCCGGGGCGAGCCGGCCCCGCCCCCCGCCCCGCACGCGCCGGAGCCGCAGCAACGCGGGGTCCCCGGGGCCGAGCTCGACCCCTGACCCGGCGCAGGCTCCGGAGAGCTGACCCCTGACCGCCCACCTCACAGGGTCAACCCTCAGCTCCTCCGGCCGCACTCGGCGCCAGGCCCCGCCCAAGTACTCCCGGCAGCACTGGTAGGCTCGGCGCTCGGCGTCACGCGACAGCGACGAGCCGCGCCGCCGGTTCCGGGCCGCGTCCGGGCACTGAGACTGCGGCAAGCTGTCCTTGGCCAGCCGGTCGCCAACAGCCCCGCCTTCGGCCACAGCTGTCCCCTCGGCAGCCATGGCGCCGGCTGGGCGAAGCCCCAACGTCCAGCCGCGCTCAGGCCCCTTCGGGCGAGCTCGGCTCCTTCCGGCTGCGCTCGGGTCTGCTTCCGGCCAGCCTGCCCTGCTCTCGTCATACTCGGGTCTCTCCGGCTCTTTTCGGCCTTTTGCGGCGCCGCTCGCCTCTCTCCGTCATCCCGTTCGGGTGCCCTTTCCGAAGGCCAAGTTCTGCGCGTCTCCGCGTGCCCGCCCCTACTCTGAGCGAACACCAATGAGCTGTCTCTCTGGGCGGGGCCGCTCCAAAGACAGGCAGCTGGGAGGGGCCCACGGGGGCCAACCAGAAGCGTCGAGAGCAGGCAGGGGCGCACCGCCCTGGGGCGTGTCTCGAGGGCCGGTCACGTGGACGGGTTGGCGAGCCCGCGGTCCGCGGTCCGCGAGCTGTCCTGCGGCCAGGGGTGAGGCGGGCTGGGGTGGTCGAGGGCGGGTGTCCTCGGGCAGGTGCCAGGGAGGGCAGAAGGGCCGTCGCGGGGCTCGGGGAGCGCACGGCGCAGCGCAGGCCCCTCGCTGGACAGACGCGCGCAAACCCCGCCCAGTCCCGGGGGCGGTCGGGCGCGGAAAGAGCCGCTGAGTGTGGGGGTCCCACCCGGAGGAGGCGGCGGTGTGCGACTCGCCGCCCGGGAGCAGAGACTGCGGGGCGC